TATGAAGTCATAATTAGGTAATAAAAATTTTAAAATAGAGATAATTATAGAAAATTACTAAAAATGTAAAAAAATTTGACATGTTAATGTAATCAAATTATTTTTATTGATAATGAAAATAAAATACATAATTTAGAACTGACCAAAAGTGAAATATAAAAATTAATAATAAATAGTTCAACTTTTGAGTTAAATGTATTAAACTTAATGTCATAAATAAATAATAAAAATTAATAAAATATAAAATACAAATATAAAAAATACATATGTTTTGCAAAAAAACCATTTAGACACATGTATAATATCATATATTTATTATATTAAACAAAAACTATGTGTAGAATATCAGAATTAGTTTTACACACAAAAATAAATAAAAAATAAAAAATAACCTATAGTAAAAATTGAACACATCTATACCTATATATTTACACTATTATTAAAAATATGAATAAGATTATGAAATTTTCTTTTGACTAAAATACTCACTTTTGAATTTAGTCCATATTTAATTGTGAGTTTTAAATTGTAAATTGAACTACTACTTTTGAGTTAAATGTATTAAACTTAATGTCATAAATAAATAATAAAAATTAATAAAATATAAAATACAAATATAAAAAATACATATGTTTTGCAAAAAAAACCATTTAGACACATGTATAATATCATATATTTATTATATTAAACAAAAAGTATGTGTAGAATATCAGAATTAGTTTTACACACAAAAATAAATAAATAAATAAATAAAAAACCTATAGTAAAAATTGAACACATCTATAATTATATATTTACACTATTATTAAAAATATGAATAAGATTGTGAAATTTTCTTTTGACTAAAATACTCATTTTTGAATTTAGTCCATATTTAATTGTGAGTTTTAAATTGTAAATTGAACTACTACTTTTCACCACATTCAATTTACTCTATTTAAATCTTACATTTTTCTGATAAATGAACAAAAAAAAGATACACAAGAAAAATAAAACATTGCAAAATGAAGAATCTATCCAAGTAGTAGGGGTGAATATATAAAACATTTTTTATAAAAAAATGTATATATATATATATATATATATATATATATATATATTTGATGAATAATTGAAAAGATACTTGTATATTTTTTTCTTTATTTAAATTGTTGTATTTTAATTTTCTTTTAATATTTTATTATTTTTTAAGTTAAATTGGAACGGATCAAATCCAAATATCCGACTTCTTCATCGGGTTTGTATTCAAATCCATGTTTATGAGATGCGATCGGATCTATTGTTAATAGTATTGGATCAGCTTCGAATATACCCTAATTCGAATCTGATCCAATCCGTTTGCATCCCTACCAAATAGGTAGGCTTGTCAATGATACCTTAAACTTCACAACTCAATTTGATTATCACATATTTGGATTAAGTGTTTATGTAATCAGATTTGGATTTTGCAATCTACATCCGATTAAAAATATAAAATATAAAATATAAAAACATAAAATTTTATAAAAAGTTTTGAATATATTATTACTATCATTATCATCATTTAAAATTATCACGTACAAAGCACATGCATGCTTACTAATCTCTTCAAAAAGGGCATTAAATTTGATAACATTTGTCCTATTTATAAGTCTAGGCCCGAAACAACCATGCATGCCCTTTTTCTGTGCGACCATGCTTCAAAAGTTTGGTTTGGAAAGCTCTATGTGCTGCAAGTGGGATTAAGCTGACATCCCTCTTACCTTCCTTGAGTGGTGGAAGGGATGGGTGGATTTGACCACATCCACAAGGGATCACAAAGAAGCGTTTTCATCCGCCGGTTTATATGGAAACAAGGAAATGATTGTGTTTTTAATAATAAACCAAACAGCTGGAGTACAAGGCAGCTCTAGCTCCCACCTTGAGAAACTCCACCTTTGGTGACAATATTCAATCAAAAAGAATTTTTTGGACTCCCCCAGGTTTGAGTTCCTTGAAGATAAATGTTGATGCGGGGTTTTTTTGTAGAGGGACTGCTTCTTAGAAACCATCTTGGGTGTTTTGTTGAGGCTTTAGCTATCACTCTATCAGGGAGAGCATTCTTTTTGCAAGAAGTAAAGGTTGCAGGTCCAATTTGACTGTTTAACCCTTTTCAAAGCTCTGAATTCTAGTGTCCCTGCTTGTGATCATTACTGTTTTTTTGTTGTTACTGATATCATGAGGTTGGTAAGGGGCAACTGTTTCTCTTTCAGCTTTATGCGTAGAGAAGGAAATGTTGCAGCTCACTTCACAGCTAGAAAGGGATTCTCTAGCTGTGACTAGAGAAAGAGAATAGACTAAAGGTCCATTTGGTTTGTAGTCAGAATCGGAATCGGAATGGTCCATTCTTATAATTTGTTTGGTTCAGATAGGAATTAAAATCAGTAGGAACGGGATTTCATTCCCAAAAGAGGAGCAGAGAATGGCCATTCCAGCAAGATCGGAAATGAGGTTCCGATTTTGTCCAACCAAACAATTGAAATCGGAATAATCCATTCCAATTCCGATTCTAAACCCCTATTCCTGCAAACCAAACGGACCCCAAATAATGCCTAAAATTCGAATTGGAGATGAATAATTAAATCCCCAAAAAAAGTGAAGAACCTTTCGAACTCGAGAGATTTTTCTACAGATGATATCTGATCAAGAACTTATTCATCAGAAGAGACAAAGACTAAAGAAACACTTTGTTAATCATGGATTTTAGCATCGCAGCAATGGAACGGAAAGGCAGAATAAGATTCATGTAGCCGACCACAATGGATGTGGCATCGGATAGATTTTCTGCTTATGAAAGTAAATTTCTGCTGGGTGCAGTGCAACTTTTGTCGGGTATTGCATATATATAAATTATATTAATTTATATTAGATGGTTTGGATTAATTCTCACTTTGAATCCATCGATCACTACTAATTTGCACCAACTGTTTGTATAAATTTCTGTGTGCTTTAAGAATATTTCCTTTGAGTTTATCAGCCATCTTAAAAAAGTTGAGATAAGCAAGATAAGGTGGTGGACCTCCTCATAGGATCTGTTTCTTCTTTTCTTGCTTTAAGTGATTTATTTACTCTGAGAGATTTGTGTTCAAATAAACCATTCCAACTAAAAGAAGCCACCCATTTGATTACCAAATAAGGTAAAGAATATCATCTTGTCATGGATATATATGAAATGCACTCTCCAAGAAGTGGAATTAATGGCGATGGGGTTCATGTCCATGCACCCACTCATGTATGTGATTGGACATTCAAGCCAACAAGTGAGAGCCACATGCAAACACTCCAATCTGATCATCATCATGATGATCTTTTTTAGGGCAAATTACAAAAAAAAAAAGACCTTTTTAGGGTAAATTATAAAACCCCCTTACATTATGGGATGATAAAATACTCTCTGAACTTTCATTTGTAACAAAGACCCCTTTGAATTTTTATTTTGTGACAAATACCCTTTGATTGTTAAATTAGACGATGAAATGCATTAAATTATCAAAATGCCCACCTAAACTTTCTTTATTTTTTTCTCACTCTTTCTCTTAAACCCTAATTGATAAAAAATACCCCATTTTCTCCAAATGAAACCAACGAAAATAATTAACTATCCAATCCTTTCTCCAATAAGTCAAGAAAAACTAAATGAATTAATCATATATTTACATCTATTAAAAACAGAAAGAAACTTCTATCATTTCATTTGAATATTAAATCCAACTAGAAATCTGCAACGATCTATTGGAGCAATCGAGAGGGCTTTAAAGTTTTATTTTGAAAACTAATTGAATCATAAATCATTCAAATAAATAAGAAAAGGCTAGCTTGGAGATTTAATTTTTTAACGGTTAAATAAGAATCTTTTTTAAATTTAACTGGCAGAACTCTAATAGAAGAGGTCCGCTCTTGGTCAGGGCAAGCCCATGCCCACACCATCCCAAAAGCTGTTGGATTTTAATCTCATTGGAGATTAAATCCAATGGGGTTTTATTGGTCAATTACATGACAAAATACACCTACACACATGTTTTGGAAAATAGTTTTTCTCTTACTAAAACCAGTTTTAACTTGTCCCACGTTGGAAAATTACAAGAATTGTTTTGGTTTTTTAGTAGGAGCTGATTTACACTCCTTAGATATAAAAGAGGAGAGTATGCCATCAACGGCCATGATTCGAACAGGTGTGATCAAGAGGCACAATTCAAAGTTAACAGTCATTAACAGTCAGTTCAAGGTACATTCTCTAAACCAATTCCATGACTCTTTAGAAACTATTTAAAGAGCATGAATTAAGCATTTCACACACAATTTTAAAAATCACTTTGTCTTTCTCTCTCTCTGTCCGATGAAACTGAGTGGGGGCAAATAACGTTCTAAAGACAATATCTCCAAACGTGTCTCAGAGTTTCTCCTTCAAGTCTCTGTGACCCCACTTCCCAACAACAGCCTCTTTCAACATTGCACAAGGAATATCTCTCCATGAAATAAAGAACATGAGTAGGGAGATATTCCCAATGCAAGGCTGTAAAAGCTGCTCGACCGAAACGAGCATTGCCCTGTTGGAAACCGAGGTACTAATAAAAGAGGGTATTTGTCATAAAATAAAAGTTCAAAGGGATCTTTGTTGCAGATGAAAGTTGAAGGGGGTATTTGTCATTGTCTCCATATTAAAGGGGGCCTTCATAATTTTATACATATAAAAGTCGAAAATTCAGATTCACATCATCAAGGTGCATGTCTTTTCCAATAGCTGATTAATGAGATAGTTTAAGAATTTAAAACTAATTAAAGCAAACGAATCACCTCCAAATTCATCACAGTCAGCACGGTCTATAGGGTCGTTTTCAGGTGGGAGATGAAGCCACCAACCAGTATAAATAATAAGTTTCCATGGAAGCTCTGTCAAGTTCATCATCATCATCATCATCTCGGCCGACCAGCTGCAACGTCTCAGTCGAATTAAGTAAAATTAAGGGTCGATCGGTTAGAAGATGGAGAGGGTGACGACATTGGCGTCGCGGAATCCCGTGGTGATCTTCAGTAAGAGCTCCTGTGGCCTCTGCCATGCGGCGGAGACTCTGATCAGAAGCTTTGGGGCCAGCCCCGCTGTTTGCGAGCTGGATTTGGAGCCTCATGGGAAGGAAATCGAGAGGGCTCTGCAGAGGCTGGGGCGCAAATCTGTGCCAGCCATCTTCATTGGAGGAGTTCTGGTTGGGGGATCAGAAGAACTCCTTACCCTTCAACTTGATGGCTCTCTGAAACAAAAGCTCATACTTGCCGGAGCTATTTTTCTCTGATGCATGGAGTCATGGACGACGACTCTTTCTCTACCATTAAGGCCCTACCTACAACTACAAATCAGTTTTCTGAGATTAATTACTTCCTCCTCATGATTTTACTTGTCTCTTTTGGGTACCTTTACTTCATGAATAAAAGTTGCATTTTTCTTGGTTAACTAGTAGCGTCATGGAAAATTTGCCTGAACAACAAACCTAAAAAAAAAAAAAAAAATAGTTGCAAATTTTGAAAGCAAAAGGGCATTTGGAAAAATACATAACCTAATTACTTTATGAATATATAGAGCCACCATGGGTGCATCTAAACCTATATCCCCCACTGTCCCCCTCTCATTCCTCCCCCATCCCTCCCCTCCAACTATATGCACTTATAAGATGTATGTTAAGTTACTTAATTTCACTTAATTTATTTTTCTAAAAGAATTTATTATTTTAATTGTAGAATTATTTTTTTAATTTTGAGTAATTAATGTAATTTAAATATATGATTAGATTAATTAAGTTAATAATTTATTTAATTAACTGAAATAAATTAAATAAGATAACTAATTAAACAATACTAAAAAAAATTTAATGTTATAGTTAGGCTAAAATCTATAATACAAGTATGAAAAACTGATGTAATATATAAATTTTGCCTTATAAATGTTATAATTTAATTCATATCACACATTTTATCTCTCTCTCTCACTCTCTCTCAATCTTTTAAACCCTGTGTCTCTTTGATGAAATGAACCATCAATTGCAACATTTACCAAAGCATTAATTTTGCAAATGTCTAATTAGCTTTTGAAAGCACTTTTATGAAAGTATTTTTATGAAAGCACTTGTGATAAGGGCAGATTTGGCCCTCCGCTAACATCATGACACGTGACATCTCAAAACAGGTGGACGACACACCAACACCACTAGGGGTGGCCACGAGCCAAGCTCTTCACGAGCTACTCGAGTTCAGTTCATGAGAAGCTCAGCTTGGCTCGGTTTCAACCGAGCTCGAGCTCAATTTAGAGGCTCGATTAATAAATAATTCGAGCTCAATATATATATATATAGAAAATAAAATATATAATAAAAATATTATAATTCTTATTTTTTTTATATTAAATAAAAATATTTTTTATATATAATTTTTTATTTTTATACTTTTTTTCTTAAGTTGAGCCGAGCCGAGCTCAAGCTTACGAGTTTTTTACTCGAGCCGAGCTCGAGCTTACGAGTTTTTGACTCGATCCGAGCTCGAGCTCGAGCCCTATAATACATTGGCGAGCCGTGCTCGAGCCTCATACTATTTGGCTCAGCTCGACTCAAATCCACCGCTAGGCACCATGAGGGCGATGACATGCCTTAGCCAAAATGATGGAAACCCAGCTGTCGACCTAGTGGAGACCCAATTAGCGACTTACCTCCGCCAACTTGATGGAGTCCCCGCTAGTGACCTCATACACAACTCAGGCACCTCGGCAAGGCGGCTAGGAGCACCTCGTACAAGGCTGACCTATGGTACCTCATCGTTACCGGTCCAACGGATCTCAGTGGGAGGAGTGACCTCCCTCGAGGACTTGTCGACTCGACTGAGGTCCAGGTGACGACTCGCAAGATGTGCTCACCAACCTCCTCCATGTGTGCTTCCCATCACTCCTGGGTCTTTTCGAAGTCAACTCTTGCACCGAATGTTTTGGAGGAAACCGAATAAGGCATAGAGCTTGGTCTACGTGTGCCACTACCTCCGAGGACTTTGGACTGGCCAGCCACATCTTCCTAGAGATCTCAAATGTGGTGCGTGAAGCCCACACCAAACAACGCCTATATAAAGGCATCATTCTCCTAAGAAAAGGTACGCGCGATTCAGCTCTCGCACTCTCTAAGATTCTAAGCATTCCAATACTTTCTAGAACTCCCAAACCACTAACTTAAGCATCAGAGTGCCCACCTTGGGTAAAAGCAACCCGGGCACTCTAACACTGTCTCTTTGCAGGTCGATCCGGCAAACTAGCCGACTCGGCATCTAAGCCACCTTCTAACAGGGAACTCGCCAGCTCGACGTTCGAGCTGTCCTCCAGCAGGGAGCTGCCAGATCGCACATCATCAACCTCTATGAAAGTACTTTTACAAATCAAAAGCACTTATGCGGAAGTACTTTTATAAAAGTACTTTTATTGAAGTACTTTTATTGAAGTACTTTTATCAAGGTACAAAAGCACTTTTATGAATGTACTTTTATGAAAGCATTTTTACAAAAGTTCTTTTTCAATGCCAAAAGGGTATATTTTTGTAATTTTCAGATTTTCTTCATTTTAATATATTTTTGTAATTTTTTATATGTTCTATTTTTTACTTTTTTATATTTCATTCGATTTGGATTGGATCCAATCTAGTCCATTTACATTTTAATGGATTGGATTGGATTTGATTTGTATTGGATTTTGATTAGATTGGGTCCAGTCCATTTGTAAGTGGACTCACATTGGACTGGATCGGGTTGGACCCAATCCAATCCAATTGACACCTCTACACAAAACCCCAAAAGGTTACTACGTTTGCAAAAGAGAAAGACACTGCACCTTTCCTCCTTGCAAGACATTTGATATCTGGTATTGTGTTGAAATGAGGAGAGAAACCGAAGGCCTTCAGTTCATTTATCAGGTCAATCACTTGCTTTGAGTCTGACTCTATTATCACCTCAGGATGAAGGGTCTGAAGGGCTTCTACACATGCCAATCAGATTGCACAAAGCTCAGCATCTAGACTTGAAGTGTAGATTGCTTTCTTCCCATTTGTTGATAGAACTACACCAAAACTTGAACGAGCCACATAGGCCAGCCCAACGGCTCCGGTCACCGATGTTCTTGTAATGGAGAAGATGTTTAATATTTTTTGCATGGTGCCCAACTAGGGGTGGCCACGAGCCAAGTTTCTCACGAGATATTCGAGCTCGGCTCGTAAAAAGTTCAGCTTGGCTCGGTTTAAACAAAGCTTCAAACTGAGTTCGAGCCTGATATATAGGCTCATTTTCTAATCGAGCCAAGCTCGAGCCCAATGAAGCTCGTGAGGCTCACGATCCTAGTATAATAAATAAATATTTTTTTATTATATACATACATACATACATACATACATATAAATATATAGATATATATATATAATAAATAATTTTTATTATATAAAAATATTTTATATATAATATTTTTATTTTTTATGTATAATGAATAATTTTTATAATTCTTGTTATTTTGTATGTAAAATAAAAAAATATATTTTTACATGTATACTTTTTATCTTTTAGAAAAAAAACTTGGCTTGTAGCCAAGCTTGAACTTGCGAGCTTTGAACCGAACCGAACTCGAGCTCAAATCTCTATCTCGAATCGAACTCAAGCTCAAACCTAACACAGTTTCAGCGTGCCGAGCTCGAATAGCCAAGTATTCAGCTCACCTCGAATCCACCCTAGCCTACACCCAACTATCACCAAATAACATTAAAAAACGTGCACTAAACCTAGATGGGATGCTTATTTGGTCCATGTATATTAATCATATACATGAGGGCATTTATGACAATCCGGACCTTTCATATATTGATATGGAGCCCATTTCATGTTGTATCACCATGTAATCCAGCTTTCTTTGAGTGTTTGGTATTGTGGTGTTGCGTGTCTTTATTATTCTATTTGGTAGACTGATTGGGTACAAATGTATTGTGCTTTTTTATCTCAAGTTATGTAAAACACCGAAACTCACTTTTTAAGGAAATTGCATTTTGACATTACCTTTGTTGCATTTCTGTTTGACCTAAGCAGTGCCTAATAGCAGTTTGAATCAGGTAGGCACAACGTTGTAAACATGTTAAATGAGCACTTAGAAATTTTTTTGACACATGTCCCTTAAAAATACCCTCAGCCTATCCTTGAAAAAAATTAATACCCACTTTTGACAGTTGTCAAAATATTTATCAAGTGTTCATTTAATGTGTTTATTTTGTTGTGCCTACTAGATCTGGTCCCATCTCGCCTAATAGAGCCCAGTGGCGCTTATGTGTAATAAAATAGAATAAACAATTGTTGCATCACACTTCATGCTTATAACGTTTTTTTCCTAATTTTCAATCCATAAACACAACAAACACACAACACCACAATACCAAGCATCTCCTTGATATACTTGCCCCGTTTCAGAACGATTTTGCTTCGAAGTTAAAATGGATGCCTAATAAGCTTGTAGTCTATGTGGTTCAACCATCCAGTCCAGTCTAGTTCCAATGCACTAATAAATATATGAGGGGGACTGGATTGTTTCATGGGATTTCTTGATTTTAATTAGGGCATGGATGAAATACAGGAGGCCCATTGTATGTATCTCAATAAATTGGTTTGAATTAGGGCATAAAAACCTTGTATAGGTTTTCCTACCTTTCCCTTCAAATCAAACGTAGCCTTAGCGGATCGTTTCTGGTCAAATAATTTTAGTTGGGCTTACCTAGTCCCAATCAAAATTAAACCCACTGTCTAGAGTTGTAAGAATTCACGTCGGTACCCATGCCCCATTTCAGCCATGCATTAAGAACATCTCTCCATGACAAGTACAAAAGATACACCCCAATCCACGCTAAGATGTGCATGTAGAGTGTCTGTGGGGCGCACTCAGTGGGACGCCAATCTGAATGGACATCTGTTACATGCAGATCCAATGTGAATACATGATATTTCCAAATATAACACCACAATCACCGAAAAATCTATGATATCGGAAAAACAAGATAGTATAAGAGCTTTGACCAATCAAAACACCCCGTGAAGTTTTATGAATACTCCCTGATTGGTCATCTTTTGTATAATGCTGGCTATAAGCTTTTCTCGTATCATATCTTTTTCATATCATAATCGAACCACACAATCACAGTGTTGGATGAATGCTTATATGGGAGAATTGGATGGATTATTGATTGAGAGAGCAAAAAAAGAAGAGGTTGAACTCCATAAAGAAGTCATTTTCATGACTTATATG